CCCAAGGGCCCGAACAACCCATAGCACAGAGCCCCATCTATCTTGGGGGGGATTGGCTCAGTTGCTTATCACCGGCAAGCAAAGGGAGAGGCAGGAGGAGGCCGAAAACATGCCCTCAGGGAGTCGCAAGATGGACGGCATAGGGGATTTTTATCGCAAGATGGATGGCAAGGGAGGGGCCCTTCATGTGCTTATTGTAATTTTTTACGAGCTGTGATGTGTTTGGGGAATTTTTAACTATGCATACTCGCACAACGAGCTTTTGTTCTCCGCTGTGGTCGCAATTGCAGTCACATTCATCTGGGTCTCGCCTTAATTGCTGTCAGATACATTTGGAAAAGTCCTCGTGTGAGTATGCCCTCAGCCTTCTGCAATTCTCTATTAGATTATTACTTTACGTTACACTGTCAGTCTCGCAGGCAATTTACCCTAAGAGGATCGCATGAACCTGGCATCATTTACTTGGAAAATACAGACAATCATCATGATAAATGGTATTGTAGCAGAAGCTACGCTGGAGTCGCCAAAACGATTTACAATTGCAGTATGGGCCAAGATACAGTTTGCAATTGCAGTTCGGGCCTGCAATGTATACAACCCAGCTTTCTGGCCACGTACTAGGGTGCCCACCCCAACTGCAATTGCAAGCTGTATCTACGGATTCTTACCCCATAGTGCAATTATAACTCGTTTTTCACAGTTTTCGTGACTACGCGTAATAATATCATAATATTATTATTAAATTACTAATATATGATGGTAGATTATCAATCATTAAATCCAACCCTCTTGTTCCTGACTTGCCGGTGGAACGGGAACGGGACTGATGCTCGACAGAATGAATACAAAGCTAAGTCTAGAACGACTTGACTTTCTTGGGAGAAAAAAAAAGTAAAAAAAAATCGCAATATACTCCAAATTTCCAAAATTACGTGGAATCTTTTTTTTTTTTTTTTTTTTTTGAGAACAATAACCTTAGCATACCAGCAGCGATCAAAAGAAGGGAAAACGAAAAGAAAGCCCATCTGGTACAAAGAACGAAATTGAAATGTCCATACTAATGCGTCAACCCTTGATTCGACATGCTGGTTTTGTTTTATCGTGTGATCTTCGTCTATCTGCTTTGATACATACATGCACGGACTACAGCGGTTTGTGCAAAATGCCCTGAAGGGACGCGGCCAAAACCAGAAAGCTGTGACTGTGTGATGCCGGTTGTGCTCACCCTCGGGCTAAGCATTCCGTACGAGGATCTTACCAAGCCACTTGAGGACAAGCTCGCCAATTCAACGGCTCGTCAACTTGGACTACAGTCTGAACAGGTTAGCTCTCTCTCTCTCTCTCTCTCTCTCTCTCTCTCTCTCTCTCTCTCTCTCTCTCACACACACACACACACACACACACACACACACACACAC